TTGTCTTGAGGAACTTAGCTATTGGTCAGCAAGAATAAAGTTAGAAAATTTCAGAGCTTCAGAGCTGGGAGGATCTTTAGGACCCTGCAAGGCTAACCAGTCCCTTCATTTTCCTGATGGGAAGCTGATGCCTGGAGAGCTGACAGAACTGGCCTTGAATTATACAAAGGGCAGTGGCAGAGTCAGGGCTGAAGCCCAAACAGTTCTGCTTTTTCTGCTATCCCATTGCAACTGGGATTGAGAGAGTTAATATTCTTTTAGACTAACGACAACATAATAATTCCCACCCTGTGTTGATGAATGAGACATTTCCCCCAGCACCCCCTTTTTAAATCTTTGAGAAACAGTCCAATAGAGTCTGACAAGATCTGTCAGAAAGATGGCTTGCATCTGTGACATTTATTCTCATGCAGACTTTTGTTGGCTTTGTGCAGAAGAACTTCATTTGGATTCATAACCCTTTTCAAAAACGTGAAAAAATTTACCTTTACTTTGACTTCATAAAATAAAAACATTCTCCCAAAGCAGTTGCATTAAATTATACAGCTTGTGGAAACTGTCAAATAGTCATAAAGATTATGACAATATCTTCATCGGCAGCCCAAATATTTTTTTAAAAACTGGAGAGAAATAAGACTTGTGTTATGTGGGGAAAATATTTGATCAGGTTTGCTTGTTGTTGTATTTTACAATACAGAAAAGAACCATGGAAAAATATAATTAAAAACCATATATGAATTCCTAGAATAAACCAACATTGATATTTCTCATATTTGCTTCATATCTTTTCAAAATTAAAAAATGATAATTTTGAAATTTATTTTAATGCTTTCTCAAGTTCATTCACTCCCTTCCTCTTTAGGTGCAACTACTATGAATATTTTTGTATGTATCCTTTCAATCCATGTCTTTATCCTCTATCTACACACTATATAGCATTTTATATTTTTATAAATATATAGATTACATTTTACATATAGCATCCAAAGTGTCTATTGTTCTGTGTCACATGAAATTTATAATACACAATTGGAAAAATAATTTAGGTAACCAAACTGAGTCATTTTTCATAAGAATATAAACATCTCAAGATAGTTTCCAAAATGGCCCATTGTGATGAATCTGATACTGAAGTTATAATTGAAGAGTTAATCCCTTATATTTATTCAGCATTATGGGAAAAAAGAAACAAAAGTCACATTTGTTAAGCTCAATAATGTGCAGAGTGCTGAGCTAACCACTTGATATATTATCTTATTTAATAACGAAAACAACTACTAACTTGGTATTAGAGTGCCATACTACAGGTGAAAAAAAAACAAAACTGGTCCTCAGAGACATTAAGTGAAACTGACCAAAGTCACACAACTTTTCAGAGATAGTCTTTACTTTCTAAATTTACTCCATTAACTGTGTGGCCTTGAATAAGGTATTTAACTTCTCAGTGCCCAAGTGCAGTTAGCAATAGTACCTAACACAAAGGGTTATTTCGAAGATTAAATGATACAAATATAAATATAAATATAAATATAAATGCCTGAGAACAGTGTCTGGCATTTCCTATGCCCTACATAAATGATTCTCCTTATTATTATTGGATCCCTCTTTCACTTCCTCCTTTGAAATAAAAGCAAAGGTAAATAACAACTAAACAAACAAACAATGGAAAACACAAACTGAATAACACTAAGGACGGGAAAGAAAAACTACAGTTGAGCCAAAGAGTGCATCTCTAAATCCCCTTGAGAAGGAGACAAAGGAGACGGGCAGCCTCCATTCAGACTTTACCATGGATGGTGCTGTAGGGCATCCCAACAGCGTGCTTCGAACTCCTAGAAATGCAAGGATCTCTAACCACTGCACATTGAACAAAGTAATAAAACAGGTCCTCAAATGTGAGTTAACAAAACGAGAGAAGTTTCTTTATTTTGCTTGTGCTTGGTGAAAGCTGTGGAGGGTTTCATTCAGTAAGAGCTGCAGAATTTGGTAATCGACAGGGTAATATATCCAGATTGTGCAACTTTTAGGTGCCTAGCTGTATTCAAGGGGGATAATTGGGGGAGGCAGAGAAAAGCGTGTGTGTTTTAAGAGACTGAATAGTGTAGATTGACCTACATAAATAAAGTATATTTGAGAGCAGTTGAATGAAAATTCAACATAAGGATGGAGAGGGAAGGAAAGAAAAGCTCTCCCTGATCATTGTAACACTATAGTAAGAATAAAATCTCAATGATCACTATTTGTTGTTAAAGCTCAGGGAGGCAGCAGGTACATCAAGGGTGAAAAAGTGGAAAGATAAAATGTATATGTCATTAGAAACCCAGGGGAGAAACAGAAACAGACAGCAATTTAAAGAACTGGATGGAAAATGTGTGTAAGAAGTTCCGCCTATCCACCTCCCCTTATGCTGAATCCGGCACTGGAGGAAGTTGTTGCTGATCTTTCCCCAAGGCCTAGGCTCCCTGAAGCACAGGCATGTCTGAGGCTGAGAAAAGCTTCGTCCCCTGACACTATAGAAGGAAAACAATGACAGGAGCTGCAGCTTGATAGCAGCCCAATGTTAGGAGTTTGGGCATTAAGGAAAATCCTTTCTCAGGTAGGTTAACATGGGCCCCATGTCCCAGGGCCTGACTGGGCAGCTGAGCATGCTTCAAACACCTCAGGGAGGGGAACTGGCCTTCAGGATCCATGACAGTAGAGGCTGGATCTGTTTTCTCACCAGTGTATGCCCAGGGACTTCCAGAGTATAGGCACTTAATAAACACTTATTAAGGGAATAAGTGAATTAATAAATGAATCCCAGAAAAACCAATAGCCAGTAGTTCTCTCTGTAGACAAACACAGGAACAGTAAGCTACAGATATAATTTAAATACCCATCATGTTTATTCATGTTAAATGTGTATAGATGTTTTTGCATTTCCCCAAAAGATCCACCCATGCAAAAAATATAGAGAAAACGATGCAAAGAAGAAATTGTCATAAGTAAGTTATTGGATAAATAAAAACCTTAAATGTAGCAGAATATGAGACTACAAAAGTCTGTTACTGAAATAGGAAAATATGCATGCTAAACTTTAACTGATAAAAATATGTTGCAATGATAGATCAAGTATGACTTCAAATTTGCAAATTACAAAGTATATGTGAGTTTCCTATATATGCGTTTTTTATAGAAAACATTCCAAAAATCTTTTAACAGTGATTATGTCTGGATGTCAAGGTTATTGATTACCTTTATTTTTTATTGTTTGTATTGTTCTTTACCTAGTAAAGGTCCCTCTTACCCCATACTACATTTATAATCAGAAGAGAAATAACATTATTTAAAAGTGAAAATAAGTTCCTCTCTTGCTGCGGTCAGACTGTATTCTTATTTCAGCCCTGAATCTTCAGGAAGTTCATTATACCCTGATCCACTCCCTCACTTTGGAAAATACAAATACTAATATTAATATGTGGCCTTTCAATTTTATAAGGTAGATGTGTGAATGAGATGGGGTAATACATGGAAAAGCATTTTGCAAACTGCAAAATGCTAGCTAGACACATACAACAAACTCGATAGGATTGGGCATTGGGATGAGAAGGAAAATGTGGAAAGGGAAAGGAAAAGAGGGAGAAGAGGAAGATGACTTCACATGACTGAGAAAAGAGAAAATAAGTATGACCAGTGGTCATGCTAGGAAACATCATTAGAGCAGTTTTCTTACAGGGAGTGTAAATGTTTGTGTTATGGAATTGGGGAAATTATATAGTGTTAGATTCAGGACATTTTCGTTCCTGCCATCAAGTTATGCAAAGATGACATGTGAGCCTCCTTAAAAATTAGGTTTGGTCTCTGGCTATTTTTTCTTTATGCAGAGGAAAGCAGGAAGACAAAAATACACTCCTGATCTCACCCCAACCCCCACCCCCACACACTGAAGTTATGCGAGTGCTGGGTATGGGATAGTGATGGAAGCAATAAATATCCTTTTATTAATTTCTTAAATAAAAACCTGGTTTATGAGCTCTGGCTGGCATAGCTCAGTAGATTGAGCACGGGCTGAGAACCAAAGTGTCGCAGGTTCGATTCCCAGTCAGGCCACATACCTAGGTTGCAGGCCATGACCCCCAGCAACCGCACATTGATGTTGCTCTCTCTCTCTTTCTCCCTCCCTTCCCTCTCTAAAAATAAATAAATAACATCTTAGAAAAAAAAAACCTGGTTTATGCCCTGGCTGGTGGCTCAGTTGGTTGGAGTGTCATCTTGGAGCATCATCCCATATACCAAAAGTGTTGTGGGTTCGAACCCAGTCAGGGCACATACCTAGGTCACACGTTCAATCCCTGGTCAGGCACGTGCGAAAGGCAACCGATCCACGTTTCTCTTTCTCTTCCTCCCTTTCCTCTCTCTCCGAAATCAATAAAAAGATAAAATCCTCACATTAGGATTAAAAAAATAATAATAACAAAGGCAACAACCCGGTTTAAAGAGAAAATAAAAACAATAATATAGCTAATCATAATAACTCCTTTCCAAATTCATAACATCCTCTGTGTCCTCTTGATCAAGCCAGTTTCTTTTATTGACCTTCATCATCCTCACTTGTCAAATAAGAGTGTCGACTAAATCATCCCATAAATCCCTTTGAGCTGACTGATTGCCTTCAGCTTCAGTTTCTTTGTAACCTGGATTAAAAAGATTCTTACTTTGGAGGGTCATTGTGGAATTACATCAGATACTTTATATAAAATGGTTAGGGCAGTGCTGAACAAAAAGTATATGTGCAATCAAAAGTAGGTAGTATCTGACCTGACAAGTTTTGAACGTTTTCCTAAAATTTTCTTTAAGTTTAGCAGAAACTGTAGAAGGCTGCCATTGAAGATAGAGTTTGACTCACAGACTTATTTCTTGACATAAAACTCTGTGGAACCATATCCCACACAATCTGAAGAATGCCATGTTTTTCTATTAAGTCTTGAGTGGCTAAAAATGAATGTTATTCTTGAGCCTTGACTTGACTTCTTTGCATCATACTCATCTTAAATTCACATTAGAGGTACAATCTACATACAATAAACCCAAATTAAGGTACTGTTTTTTCTACAAAAGGATAAATAGAGCATTTTATTAACACTTTTCTGTGCAGCAACAAAAATGATAGTCCACATTTTTTTCATTCAACACAACAAAAGCTATGATCACACTATGTCACTTGGAGACACAAAGCAGAAGATATTTTTATTTTCTTAAGGTCAAGAATGGTCTGCATTTTCAAACAAACTTTATGTTTTATGTTCGCAGTAGCAGGGCCTCCAGTCACTGGCACAATACATTGGACAGGTCAAATATCCAGAAAAGACAATTAAATACACCAAGAGTATTTTGAATTGAATTGGGAAATGCATTATTATCATTTTAGAACATTAAAAAGAGGTCTGATGTTAAATTCTTTTAAAAGAAAAAAAATCATTCCTACCACCTGAAAAGCTACCACAAGCAAAATAAAGATAATATACAGACAGGAAATTGTATGCATTGCACTTATTGCTTGGTACACAAATGTTGCAACGCCTGCTGCGTATTATTAAGAAGTGACAAGCAAAATGCCTCTGCTCCATCTAAAACTCTATGACTCTATGAAAGTAGAAATTGCAGTCCCCTACCCCAACATTAGGTGTATGCTATTTTTGGTATTTTTGTGAAGATTGTTTATTATGTTTCTGTGTATGGATATGTATAAGATATACAGATATATAGAGATATAATTTTAATATAATTTCTTGTCCTATATAAGACAAATATATTTTAAATGGGACTTTAAATAATAAAATTATCTACTTACAATCTCTCTATTAAATTTATCTTTTTATATTATATATAGCTCTGTGGCACAAGTTTTACATAGTATTTAATTATTAAGGAAGAAGAATATCTAAACCATTTTCTATTTCTTTTGTTGTTTAATATTGCATTTTCAGGGCTCTATTTCCATAGCAATTTCTTAGTAGATTCTTTATGGTGTGTGCATCTTTTTTTTTTCTAATGCAAGTTACAACCTGTACAAAGTTGTAATAAAAATACATTGAAGTCTCTTCTTAATATTTTTTGCAAAAAGTTATGTGATATGCTACATGAAAAGTCAGATTTATTAAAATGTGAAGTGTTTTATACTGCTAGGTACATGAATGGAAGAACATGAAGCATACCCCACGCTTTACAAGTTCCCTTTCACAGATATGTGTTTGTGCCCAAACATTTCATATAAAACACTGTAACATACTCCCTATGATGACAATCCATATTGTGTAATAACAGTAACTATTTCATATGCCTTGCTAGTTGCTAGCCCACAATATTCTTCTCTAACTGAGATATCCCAACTTCATGATTTACACTCAGTAAACGTTGTCAATAACTGATGCAGGCAACATGACAACATTGCATTTTTGTTAAAACAGGACTTCTGCATGAGATCTTGCAATACAGTGTAACAAATATATAAGTGCATTTTACGTGATCAAGTAGCTTTGGCTTCCTAACCTTTGTAGGATGAAATGTGCCAACTGTTTTAGTTGTGCTTTATTAAATGGTGATGAGTTTTAGCTCATATGAATCTAATGAAAAACTACTTGCCTCTACAGTGTTTGATCAGTCAACCTTTAAATCACAAACGCAAGAATAGATGACCTGAATGGAAATGAGGGAATTTCACAACTTCTACAGATTGCACTTGATGGTAACTTCATGAGTTTGTTTTTATTTCATTGTTATAGCAAGACTTGCCTGGTTGATATGTTTACATGTTTACACCACATATTTTTAAAATTTTTGTGCAATCACAATTAAGTTAATCACAAACACTAAAAATAAATCCAGCAATTAGCTTTGTTATGAGTAATTATCTCGGTTGTTATAGGCGTATGAGTCTTGTCCTTCTTCTTGTACAAATTCCTCTTTCTTTTCCCAACTATTGGGCCAACCTCCATTGGCCTGTGTGGTGGCACCATAAGACTTGGCGGTACCATAATTTATATAATTTTGAGTAATGTCCCCTGTTTCTTCATCAAGTTCATCTTCATGGATAAATCCACATTTTTCTTCACTTGTTTCCTCAGGGTCTGCCCAGGGTTGCTTCTCTCCTGAGGCAAATATCGCATAAAATATAACTCCGCCATAATGGACGAGGGCAGCGATCAGGAAGACATACTGCCACTCCTCACGGGACTGCAGTGACAAAAGTGGAGTGTGAGGACGGACAGCCGTGTTTCAGAGGAAACCCCTATTCTGATTCTCTGAAGCAGATCCCGTGACAGAAACTTTCTCTAAGGTACAACTTTTATCATTTTAAAAAATTAAAATCTAATGTTCCGAAATGAAACTCCAAATATATTTAAGGTCTGCTAATTTAAAAAGAATATTTATAATTGATTTACTTAATATTTTTCTCCCATTCTTTTTATTTATTTTCTTCTACTAAGTCATAATTTTGAAGCTGTACATATAAGGACAAATAGCTGATTATTATATTCTTCCACAGATAGCTGCAGAGATGTCTGAACTGAGGTTTGTAAATAAAACTAGAAGATTTCTAGTTTGTAGAAAGATTTCTGCTTGCCTATTCTAATAAGCTAGGAGCAAAAGGTTTTGTTTACTTTCATCTACAACAGGAATATCAGAAATATTAAAAGATATTGAGGGGCATGTTGCTTATTGGTTGGGAAAAGACGCTCACTCAGCGTTCTTAGATATTTTCTTCTGAGCCTCAGTCACCTCCCCTACTCAGAAGTGTGGTGAGTGGATCAGAAAAGAAATGCCACAGAGAATATATCAACCCTTTCCCCAACCATAAGAGAGAATCTTCTACAACTGAACATCTGTTTTGTTCCACCTTACCTTATTCTTCGTCATTGCACCAACAATGATAGGACAAACCATTCCTGACAATGTGCCCACGCCATTCGAAATGCCCATCAAGATGCTGGCATATCTGGGTGCAATATCCAGGTGGTTAACGTTGAAACCTGAAATACACACATCACCTTGGACTCAGAGCATCCCAAGCCTCTTAGATGTGCCTGCAGAATCTTTTCTTCCATACCCACCACCCACTTTAAAAGATACTAGGTACACAGCAAGTGCTTAATAACTACTTTTTTAATATAATTCAGCTCAGGGGTGTAATAAGAATAAAATGAGGTGTAATTTCTTTTCTAAGACTTCGTATGTGATGTTCCACAGAGGAAGGAGATATGTTCTCTTAACCAGAATAAATAAGTAAATAGATAAAAAAGGGTAAGCAGTGAGAAAATGAGTAATAACGAATCTAAAGAATGCACTGTAAATATTTTTTATTTTTATTTAATTTTTAGTGGAAATGTGTTGACTAAACTTTCTCAACAGTTAAAATATTTAAAGTGGAAAGTAGAATATCTGGAGGTATACAGATAGACCACCTCACCATCACCAGCCCAAATCAGATGCCACAAGCACAAATTTTAAAAATGTGTATTACCAGATATAGCGAATCCGCTGAATCCCACCGCAAGTACCAAGAATGAGATCGCCACCCCTCTGGTGTGAGAATAGCCGACGACCAGAAGCAGTGTTGCCTCCATGCCAAAACCTTCAGAAACAAACACGTGCAAACACATCAGAAATTTGTGTAAGTTTCCCAGTGAGCCAAAACTGCTAAAAATGCCCTAGCAAACTACTTTTGTCTGTCCATGTTAAAAATAATCATAACAGTAATAATTTATACAAAGAGATTACTGAAACCTTCCTGGTGTTTTGGTAAGAACACCAAAACAACCTTAAGTTTTGATGGTGGGGAGAGTTAAGTTAGTTATGTAGTTACTTGGAACTAGGAGTTAGGAAAACCTAAAGATAGGAAAATGATTACAAAAGAACAATGAAGACACATTTATCTTCATATTTGATGAGTACAGAAAAAGCTGCTTATGTGAATCAGAACTTCATGGACTAAAAACATGTTCCAAACATCACTAGTGCACTTACCCCCACAATTCATGATCTTTCTTACTGTCGTAGTTGAAAGAATTTGCTTGCTTCTTAGAAAGTCTGCAATCTGCCCACCAATAGGCACAATAATTGTCATCACTAAGTGTGGCACTGCTGACAGCATGCCGACCTGAAGAAAAACCAGATGGGAGAAATATATATGCTCATAAGTAACATGGGCAATGTAATGACCCTGGTTTCCTGAACCCAGCATAAAGTCTTCATGGACAAAGGCAGGAAAAACATTATCTCCACATGACCACTTATTTCCTAGAATAAGTATTAACTTCCACACAATAAGCAAGAAAAGCTAAGTAACTTTACTCTGACCCCTTTTTTATGTTCTAGAAGAGAACACTGTTTTTCTGTGCTATGAGTCAGTTTTGAGTTTATGAATAAACTATCCTGAACCTTATTAAACAGTGATTCCCATTTATGTGCCCATTTTATACTCTCAAATATGTTTGCAAAAATGTATCATTAGGAAGAAGGGAGTGTAGAAGAGAGGTGGAAACAGAGGCAGAGGGCAAATACATTAGACAAAACCTTGGAGAGGCTATATTTTAAGGCTAACAACTTTAATTGCATTCTAAAGATATATCTCTTATGAGTTTTATCTTCAGTTTCTACAAATTAAGAACCCAGAAAGTGTAGATCAAATTTTTAGGCACATTCATCTCAAATATCAATATTGGATCATATTGCCATCCAATGAAATATAGTTTCTATGCGATCTAAAATCCAACCCACTGGCATTGATTCAACACACATTTTTTGACCAATAATTATGTGCAAGGCACTATTCTCTAAGCATTATTGAGGCAGAAAACATAAATAAAATGCATTTTAATTGTGTATTACTACATACATGGACTTAGTAAATTTTAAATATTCAATATAAACACGTAAGGAGAGGGGTTTTTTTTCACTAAGTATAATTTTAAGCACAGTTCCTGCCAAATGATAAGTACAAGTACCAGGTAAGTTTATTAATATATGTAAATATGTTTTTCAAATTAGATTATTGAAACTTCAAGAAAACGATCGGGTTTTATTTTACAATGGTGTATAGTGTGATCTCATGACCATGACTTGAGTTGTTTTGATGATTAATTGACATAGTGAATGACTCTAAAATAGGTTAGATCTCCAAGCTATTCAATTCTCTTTTCCTACAGATGGAAGTGTTTAATATTATTATGATTATAGTTTATGATAGAGTTTGGTTTCTAAACCATGTCAGCCTAGGTCCAAAGTCCATGACATATTTTCTTCTTTACCTCCTTTATGTGTTTTTTCAGGTAAGTCGAGAGACTTTTTTTTTTACCAGTATAATCAAAATCTTCAAGCCAATCTGTGTGTGTACAATTTCTTTACAATTTTAGTTAAAAATACAATAAGTGAATCAAATTAAGCCATTTAGTTGTTATATTTAGTTTCTGAAAAATATCGTTGCATTTACTCAAGTACTTTCAATGACTCGGAGCCACAGGGCCAGGATGACCGTGCAGTTTCATTAGCATCCGTTGGTTCCTTCACTCTCTCGCCCATGAGGCCAGACTTTATCAATAGCCTCTCAGTGTCATATGTGTCCTAGATTATGAAAATGAACTCGCACCTTCAGCAGCCTTTGTGGAGAAGTGCAACACCTCTCAAAGCTCCCAAAGGCTACCCTGCAATGTTTGATCAGCTCCAGAGAGAAGAGCCCTGTCTAAAGCAGCCATTCTTCTCAGCAATGGAGGAAACAGTTTCCTTAGAAACAGGGTTTACAAAAGAGCTCTTAGAATAGCTACTCCTAAACTCAGGCTTCCTTCAGTTCCAGGCCTCGGATAGTGTTTCAAGTAGAGATGTAACATGAATAGCGAGCCCAGCTGGACTTATGTAATGACGTGAAGAGGAAGGGCAAGTCCATTGCCAGCACAGACAAATGCATTCAGGACTCAGTGAAGGGCTTGGCACAGAGATGAGATTTAACAAATACATGCCAAATGCTTAAATTAAGATATGGTTTACCTGAATTTAAACGGCATAGTAGAGGGAACTGAAACAAGCCAAAGGATCTGGGCTTAAATTTGATTCTGTCATTTATTACCAGCTTGGCTTCAGGCAATTTTAAAACTATTTCTAGTTTCTACATCAGTTCGAGAGAAATGGGGATGGTTATCCCCTGTTCAACCACACTAGGTTTTTCATGAATATGAAGGCCTGGTAAATTTCAAACCCTATATAAATATAAAGTGGTATTATTATGTTTATTTTATCCTTATAGAAAATCTCAAAAATGATTATATTCTCATGGCTATGAATAAACATCTGTAGCTGTTAGTATACTGTGCTGTAATTAGTAACTTTTATTTACCTATTTTTTGGTCTACACCACCAAGCTGTGCACCCTTGAGGGCAGGAACCATGTTCTTATTTCTGAATCTAACACGGAACTTCATGTATCATGTTCAACAAATGATTCTTTAATGAATAAACTAAATAAACAACATACAAGAATATTTTCACATACTTTCTTCTTATGTGCAAATCTTTTAGCCAAACAGGTTTCTGAGAGCACTGGAGAAGAGTTAGATTTGTAGTTACAATTCCACCTTAATAAAATACTTTTCCATTCACTGTTACATTGTCTCTAATCTGACATTTAAAAGAAGTTATATTTAATTGCACACAAAAGACAACACTGACGCCCACCCCGATGGAGATATAAGCTCCATAAAAGCAGAGACTCAGTCTGTTTTGTCTGCATTTCCTGCAGCAAAGAGCAGTTTCTCGCAGATATTTGAAGGCAGCTGACAAATATCTTCCTTAGTCTTTGTTTCCCAGAAGGTGTTTATTGACTGAATAAATAAATACCTCACAGAACTTAGAAGATAAAATCTTGGCAAAAGAACTTAATATTCAGTTAAACACAAAAATGGTGCACTAGTTAAAAATAATTTTTACATACCTTGCTGATTTCAAATCCAAAGACTTCCTCAAAATATGCTGGCTGACTAATAAGCAATAAGTAAAAAGTCCAGCTTCTGCAGAAGTTTGCAACAATTATTGCATAGACTGGCATAGATGTAAAAAATTTCCTCCATGGAGTCTTGAATTTCTGAAATCCCAAAGAGAGAGCCATTCTGACCACTTAAGATACATTCTAACTTATGTAAGAATGATATAGGGATGATAGGTGCTTTGCATTTTCAGGATGTGTGTTGGGGCATGGTAGGAGATAGGCAAGAAGCAGTGATTTGTTAATTGCAACATTCCAGTTAGCTTTAGCTGTGTGAACAATCATTTGTAGAGAAAAAAGGGTAACAGCCTCTTATTTTGATTAAATTGTTGCAGTGTTGGGAATATACAAGATTCCATATTTATACAAAACTAATTCTAAAAGCAGAGATCTCAGTTTCCAAGATCTGGGCGGGGTGGGGGGGAGCAGTTATTCAGACCATGCTTCAACTAACACTCACTGACAAATTTAGTCACCTTGTTGGTCTCCCAAATACTTTATCAAAAATATTGAAAATTCAACATCCTTAGGGAAATAAAAACAAGAAAAATGAAGGGTGCAATAATCCAGACCTTCTCTAAAGACAATGATAGCACTTTGTATCTGTAAACACCCCTGATCACCAATGGATATCAGTGTAAGTTCTGTGACACTGGAGTGCCAGGCTCTGTAAAACCCCCATGGTGTATGTCTGGTTAAAGCCTCTGGCCACCCGGCACACTATAGGCACGTCATAACTATAGTCATGCATTGCAAAACACCACTTTGGTCAGTGATGTACCACATATATGATGGCGGTCTGATAAGATTATAAAGAAGCTAAAATAATTCCTATCACCCAGAGTCACTGTCGTTCAACACATTGCTCACATGTTTTCAGTGCTGCTGGTGTAAACAGACCTACTGTGTTGCCAGACATATGAAAGTATAGCACAAACAATTACAGTAGTATGCTATGCCATCTACACTTGTGTAAGTGCAGTTGACGATGTTCGCACAGCGGCTAAATCACCGAATGCTTCATTTCTCTTAAGTGTATCAGTCATTAACAGGCACATGACTGTAGTTATTTATGATATTCAAGACATTCCAAATTAACAACCTAAATATGATTAGCTTTGTTTATAACACCTATTAAAAAAACATCCAGTATACTTAATATCCTGTATATGCCTAAATATATAGTAAAACAAGTATCTGAAGACTAATTTTTACACCTTAAAATATTTCTCAAGTTTTCAAACACTTTTTCTATTACTTTATTTTGAACACCAAGATACTGTTTGGTGAAGAAACAATAACCTAAAATAATCCTGCTTAATGCTAGCTTGGGGCCAAATTAGTAAAAGAGAAGGCACTCATATGGGGGACACAAAACTGAAAGTAACAAATGAACAAACAAGACAAACAAACAAACGAAAACAACCTCACGCACACAGACAATAGTCTCGTAGTTAGCAGAGAGAAAGGAGGGTGGGGAGGGTAGTAAAGGGCATCCAGTGGGCATCCAGTGGATGGAGACCAAAGGAGACCCAACTTTGCGAGGTAAACAGGGCAATATACAGAGTATCCAGGTGATGTATTTTGGAACTGTACACTTGAAATCTTTATTATTTTACTAACCAATGTTACCCCAATAAGTTAATAAAAATTAAAAAATTAGATATAGGAGGCAAACACTTTTTATACAGAGTTAGTCATTGTTTTTGGATATGGAACCTCATCATTGCTATTACTGATTACGATTCTAATTAATCCTTTACAGATCACCTTATAAGCAATACAGTAGAAAGTTATGCAGTGGTGATCACAAGTACATGTATAAACACATATATGTGATTGAAAAAACAGAGCAACACAAAGACTGTCCTAATAATGTGTAATGAGTTCTGTGGCTTTGGATAAAAATTTCAAGCAAGCATCAATTTCATAGATGGGTTTAAAAAGCGCAGAGTTTTCTCCTTAAATTCAATATGCTCTGGGAACATGGTGCCAGATGAACATATTTATTCACTGATAAAAAAAAATAGCCAAATAAGGAATGTCTGGATGATGGGTATTTGTATAATAAATAGCCTTAGAATATTATTAGAAGTAAATAACTATTTCCTGCTGGTCTGGTATTTCTTTGATTTAACCAGGATTATCTCCACTAAGAACTTTATTCCTCAGGTTGCAAAACACTTCATCAAATATAAGAGAAATGCATCTAGTTTTATACTTTAAAAAGTTGTTGGGGGCTGTCAGAGGGTTTGTGGTATTCTGATAATGTTCTGCTGACTGGACTGGCTGTTCGCTTCCCAGGTGCAGTTAGTGTGTAAAAATTCAGCAGGATGTTTGCTTATGATTTTGTGCATTTTTCTGTATGTATGTTATATTTAATTTTTTAAAAAGAGACATTATAGCCCTGGCTGGTGTAACTCAGTGAATTGAGCACAGGCTATAAACCAAAGGGTCGCTGGTTCAATTCCCAGTCAGGGCACGTGTCTGGGTTGTGGGCCAGGTCCCCACTGGGGGCCATGTGAGAGGCAACCACACATTGATGTTTCTCTCCCTTTCTTTCTCTCTCCCTTTCCCTCTCGATGAAAATAAATAAAATCTTTAAAAAAAGAGAACGACATTATAATCAGCTGCAACATGTGTGATCTTGAATTGGATCCAGACTCCTAAACAAACAGCTACAAAAGACATATGACTACAGACTAGGTATAAGAATTTGGACTGGATATTAGCAATTTGAATATCTAGGTATTAAACAATGTAATTAAATAAATTAATTATATGAGGTTTGATAGCAGTACTTAGCTTGTAAAGGAGAATATTTTTATTTTTCTAGAGATACTCATGAGGTATCTGTGGATAAAGTTTTATGATATCTCCCTTACTTTAAAATTATTCAGCAAAAAAGCAAGTGAAATAATAAGATGAGAAGTCACTAACTGCTGCGTGCATGCAGTGGATACACAGATGTTCCTGCCACGGTCCCTCCACATGAAATTTCTTCACAATAAAAAGTTCAAAGTAAAGTTTAAGTTCTACTCCCACCTGATGGCATTTTGAAAAATTTACTTTGAAACTAAAAGAAAGTGTAAGATATTAATAAGATAAAATATTGTTTAAAAGGCAGTAAGTTAGAGAATATGAGGATTTTAAGATTATCCATGCTCTTTTGGGGGTCATTTCAGAAATTGGTTTTCACTTAGACTCAATTTCTGATTGTTTTAAATAATTTATGCCTGGTGTAGACATGCATTCTCTCAAGAACTGGTAAATAAAAGAATCACATTTAACCTTGAAGTTATAGGCTGATCAGGATGTTTTGGCTAGAAATTGAAACTGAGCTCCGAACTCACTCTGATCAACCTATATATTTAGCTTCCGCTGGTAGCAGGTATGGCTGGCGGGACCAGAGCATGAGGCCAACCCCCGCCCCATCCCCACATCACCACGTGTCTTTGAATAGCCAACATTAGAAAGGAATGATCTGTGCATTTACACAGGAAAACTGGAAGGGGAAAATCCTAGTGCCAGTCTATTTGGTTCACGAACAACTATAATGTAAGGATTATTTTGAAGCACTGAAGTTTAACTTTTGAATAATACCCAGTATGTAATTTTTCTTATTTGTTAAAGGTCAAGATACATATCTGTAGCAACAATGAGTGACAGACCTTTTTACCTACAATGAGATGGTATGCTTTGGAACAGGCCTTCTCTAACAAATGAAGTAGAGGAGCAGAGCTGGAATAAAATACAATTAGAATGTGAGGAAGAGCCTTCTAAAGAAAGAGGAGAAACATACAAGGGGCACTGGGTCCTCAGCCAGTGCGTGCTCCCCTTCAACTCCTAGCATAAGGAAATTGAGTTACTGATTGAGTGCTGAATTACCGAACCTGTCTAAATGCATTACTTTTATTTCCCAGTTTTTAAGTGGGATAATATGTCTATTTACTACTTACTGTTCATGATATATAAATGTAACATGGACTAAAATATTCACATTATTGACATAAAACTGCATTTCACTCTTGAAAGGCAGATTCTGTCCAAAAAAACCAAATCATGATCGGAAGAAAGGCTTTACAACATTTTCTTTATAATACTTGATCTTCATAATAATCATCCTGAAAATGGTAACATTTCATCAAAAAAGGATTATATTATAATAAGAATATTTTCACATTAACTATTACTGGCATTCTAATGCTTTAGTATTTACTAAACCACATATAAGTACACATATACAAAACCTACATTTAGACTATTTAATGGACAAAAAAATAGTCTTTTCCATAACTGTGTTAGGTGATTTGGTGATTCGGCATTTCCTACAATCTAAAATTCACTACTGGTTGAATTTGTTTAAATTATGGATCATACTGAACTGTCTTTCAAACTCATTTATGTTTACAGTCATAGCAATAACACGGAGCAACTCTGAAGATGCTTAACAAAGATAAAGAAAAGAATTATAGATGGAAGAAGTAGCAAAAATTCCTAAGTAAGTCAGGAAATATGGATGAAGTAAAAAAAATAATGATTGTTACCAAATTAGTTTTGTTGAATAGGGACATATAAAATAAGTTGGTTAGTTGGAGGGAGATGAGATGGAGAATAAGAATAGAAATATACACCATAATAAAATTCTTACTTCCATTGCACCTAAAAGATTTGCACTCTCTCCAATGCTTTCTTCTATGTACCTACGTTCTTCATCTGTAATAGTAGGGTGCTTTGCAGGACTCTCGTAAGACACCAAAAGCCAAAACATGTACCAGATCATCCCAAAGCTTCCTGTAAGCAGGAGTTCAAAAGGAGGAAGTTAAAGAAACCCACTGTAAATGCTTCCACTTAACAGTCATTTGCTGGAATAAGACTACACATATCTTGTGACAAACTACATACTACAGAATGTCAATTTGAGTTTTATGTTTCTACAGCTGACTTCAGCTATCTCTTCTTCTCTTTTGTCACCATACTTCAGTCTTTCTGAAGGCTAGTCCTGTATTTTCTCTTTTTTGTAAATCATGCTGATACACATGATAAATAATGATGGAATAGTGTGGTTTGGAACATGTTCATATATCCATCAAATACTGACTGAGCAATTGCTTTTCCAGGCACTCTGCTAAGTGAGAAAAATATGATGAACAGGGCAAAATTTCTGTCCTCAAAGGATTTTCTGAGGAGTTAATACTTTGGCTATTGGGCTTTCTTGAATATATTAGAGTGGCTTGCATTTCCAGAGGAAAAAAAATGTTCATTTACCTCTCTTGATAGCACTTCTAGATCTAGTAAAGAGACTATTAAATAAAACCTAGAAAATAATTATAGCCTGAGAGACTATTAGACATTAAAAAATGGCCTTCTATAATTAAGGTAGTGCCTTCCCACTTTATGTGACTGTAGACCATATTATTTTCAGTACATGCTATTGCCTATTGATCATTTGGGGGGGGTACATGAAGGTTATAAATGTCAGAACAATAAACGGTTTCTAAATTCTTTCCATCCCCTTCTTAATTTAGCACTCACCATTAAAACATGCCCTTAATGTGCAATATAAGTCTGGAAGCATTAATAACAGAAAGAACTTCAGAGGATTTATTCTCATTTCTCAGCAGCTGGCCATTTCATTTTTGCCTCATACTGTTCTTTCTCCCTTGAGTAACAACCTAAATGTCTCTGATCTTTATAATATATTTTTTTGCTTGTCCCATGCTTCTGTTAATGACTGAATGTGACAGCACAAACAATTTTGGGTCAGATAGTGGAAATCCCATATAGTGCAGCGATTATGGAATATGGCTCTCCCAGAGTCAGATCCTGGCTGTGTCATCCATTAGCTACACAATCTGATCAGGAACTGAATCTCTCTAAACCTCCACTATAAAATGAGATACTAATTCAATTTTTATGACATGTGGCAAAGAAAAGTTAAAGGAGATAATGCATAAAGCAACTACCACAGTGGGAGGCTCAAAATAAAAACTCAATAAATGAGGGCTCTTACAATTCAGAAGTAATTATCACGACTGCTCTCTGAATGCATCAAAAGTGCCAGATACTCAGCTAATTGCTTTTTACAGGGTGCAGCAAAAGTAGGTTTGCAGCTGTAAGTACATGAAACACAGTTTATTCTTAGATTATTATTTATTAATTATTGTATTATTTTCAATATGAACAACTATAAACCCACTTTTGCAGCACCCTGTATGAATTCTATTTTTAAAACTTTAGTCACTGTGCAGGTTTTATCTAAGTTTTAAACTATCAATATTAAATGTGTGGCTCAAAGACCCAATTTCTGTTATACACAGTAAGTAAGTAATTACTGCGATATGATGTTTTCATATTACCTAGTATTTAAACTGTGTACCATTCAATGATGGGCATTAAATAAATTATAAATTGAAATAATGAGACTGGTTTTTAAAAATACTTCGTGGAAATTAGCATCCTTACTTCAAAGCCATATCACATCTTCAGTTAAGTAAGGGACTAAGGCACCAAATGGAGGATTTAATGGATGGCCACTCCAACTCGTACTATAAACCCAATATGTAAATGCTTGAAATTTTTTGAATTATGAACCTTTGAAAGTCTAATCAAAGGTATGGATTAAAATCTGATAAAAAGATCTCCCCAGAAAAAAAGATATGTACAAATGCTCACATGGCTTCAATTTCGAGCATTCATAAATCTAAAAGCCATACAGGGACTTTTGAGCCAGGACATGAGACCCTCCTGTAAAGTGTTTTTAATAACATCCTAAAAACATAAGGATTTGCTCTGGTGAGAACATTTCAAAATGGAAATGGATCGTAGCAAATTTGGAAACAGCCAGATAACTATTCTGTTCGACCACATGACTTCATCAAACTTACAGAACCTCATGCCCATGTTCAAAGATGGTATTAATCAATGACAATATCAGCTGGACTCCATCTCTCTTATACTTTTTCTTTCCTCATTAAAAAGAAAGTGTTTCTTAGAAAGAGACTTTAGGGATACTTTCAAGTGGTAAGCTTTCAGCTTCTAGTTACAAAATAAATGGAAAGGGAATTGGAGCTTACAGCTTTTCTTGTCATTTTTACATTTCTATCTGGGAACTGAATCTCCTTTAATTCAGAGGAAATGAGGACAAAATGAACCACTGCTGCAAGAGACTGCTAATATTTCATCACCAAACTGATTTGTTTCGTTAGCACGCCTGTCACCGTCCAGTTTTCTAGCCCTGTTCAGCTTCGAGGAGGCACGCTCAGGGAGCTGGCAGAGAAAACAGTGGCAAAGAGAAGAAGTGGGCACTGCCTAGCTCTTTCCTTTTAATCAGCTTTGAATCAAGAGATAACCTCCATTTTTATTCATAATTAAGGGCAATATACACCATACATCACAGAGTTTCCATCAGCAATGTGGCTGCTTTTTTAAGCAATAGATAACGATATAGGTAAAATCATAAACATAGAACACTTTCCTTGATCTCCTCAGAATATAAGGAAAGAATTCTTAGTAGGAAAAAAAATAAGTAAACATAGAAATATGTTTAGTGATCCATCTCATTGTTTTAGATTATGCACACTTCCTTTAACTCTATTGTATAGAAATGCAACATACCGTAGACATAGAATACTGAAGACCAGCCAGTATACTGTACAAGAATGCCAGCTAAAGGCATTGCAATCACAGCTCCAGCATAGGAACCTAAAGTAGAAGGGAGAATAGGAGAAAGGAAGCGAAATCAATACAAGTTCTTGACTTTTTATCTCACGTTCCTTGGTTCACTTACACAAACACACACTTACACACTTGGGTGCATGCACCCAAGTGAGTGCATGCACACTCACACATACACCTCCAAACACATGTAGATGCCTACATATTTAGCCAAGAATACAAGACTACACAAGTACATATAACTTACACAAGACACAAAATGGCTTAAAAATAAACTATAATAAAAAGTAAATTTTTTAAACTATAATAAAAATCATTGGTAAGTATTTTGAAAACCTAGATAAAATGGATGAAATAGAAAAATATAAAGTACTAACAGAAACAGAGGATTTAAGGAGACCAATAAGAATTGCATAAATTGAAATAGTGGTCAGGAAACCTTTCCTCATGAATACACCCACACACAGACAGACATGCTGCCCCAATGGTTTTACAGGTGAGCTTTACCAATTTTCAATTCTTATTCAAGTTGTTTCTAAACTTTCACCCAACATAACTACACCAGCACACAACACTTACCACAAAAGGAGGTGGTTGCCAATCTACTCCTCTCCAGAGGAGGGGCCCATTTGCTCCATATCCCATGACATGCTGGGTAGGTGACACCCTGTGATGAGGGAAGACATATGTCACCATTTCAGATCCAAGGTCAATGGAAAATAAGCACATTCCCTTTCTGATGCTGTCTCCTTAGAATGAGCACAAAAGAAAGATGCTATTCATAGGAATTTGCCAGTTCCCTGAAATTCCATTCTAAAACTTTCAACCCAGACTGGGTAAGACATGGCCTCTTTTCAGTGACCTGCTCAAAGACTCCCCACCCTTCAAGCATTATTACTACCTCAATATTCTTCTGATCAATGCAAAATAAAAGATTCTATGTTACCCAGTTTATTGGAAGTTCTGAAGAGTTTGAGAAGTTTAGAATACTTTTTTTGTGAGACATAACACTCAGTGACTCCCAAATATAAGGAATCCATGCAAAGGAAGGTAAAGCTTAGGTCCTTGAAAATCACACTTCTCAAGGAAGTGTCTAGAACTCAAGGCCCTTAAAATACAGTCAGCCCTCTGCAGCCACAATCTGCATCTGCAGATGCAACTGACCTCAGGTGAAAAATATTAGGGAAAAAACGTTACCTTTGCTGCTGACATGTACTATTGTAGTTGACTCTACCATGGTTGTGTCTGTACTGAAAATGTGCAGACCCATTTTTCTTGTTTTTATTCCCTAAACAATAGAGTATAACAACTATTTACATTGTAGTAGGCAGTATAATTAACCCAGAGATGGTATAAAGTGTATGGGATGATGTACATAAGTTATACGCAAACACTGCACTATTTTAGATGAGGGCCTTGAACATCCATGGATTTTTGCATCCAAAGTTGGGGGGGGTGCTGGGTTCTGGAACCAATATCCTTTCAAATACCAAGGAGCAACTGTCATTATCTTTTTTTTTTGTTATTTTCACCTCATCAATTTTTCCTTCTGTTTGGAAAGAGGAAATTGTTTTCAGTGTCTTAATACTTTATCTGATTTATTTATTCTCACCATACTTCATAAAAAGAAGGGGCAACTGGTAGGCCAGTCTCAAGTTTTTAATGCTATTCTTTCAAAGGCAGTAGGCTGGTAGAGGAAAAGTCAGTCACTAGTGTTAGATACCCAAAGAATATATCCAATGAAATACATTAGTGAAAACTCAAATAATGATTCTATATGATTCTATGATTCATTCCAGTGATTATATTGGAATGATTCTATGATTCCAATGGAGACCTGGTGTAAAATTCCCAAAAGATGTTAATTCAGGGTTATCACCAACAAAGGGTAAACTCAAAAATTTTTATCACAATACAGTAACAAAAGTACCTATTCTTTTTTTTAAGTCAAATAGTCACTAAGCATTCCCTGAATACCATTCAATTCTAGAGAAAAAAAGTAGTAGTTTAGCATCATTTGAAGATAAAATATCTGATTGCCTAATTTTTCCAATTCTTTAACATGGTATAGACACAACCAAATTAAAACAACTTATTTATAGATCAAGTCAAAGACTTTCTGCTGGTTCTTAATAACATGGCAACCTTAAGATGCTGTCATTCTGCAGTTCCATACCTCAACAAGTCCCTGCAATATCCTAACAAAGATGACACATCCATAATGCACTCTGGCTGCTGATGGGATTAGCATATTCAGGGTAGAGGTAAGAAGTATGGCAGCTCCAAAAACCCTGAAAAACAAAAGGAATTAATAGATCTAAATTTCTCAGGATAAGTTCAACACAAGCAATTTAAAACTAGAATGTTTTTTTCTAAAAGAATAAAATACATTTTGAACTTGATTGGCAACAGCCATTGGAAATGGATTTGTGGACTATCTTCAAATACTAGAAATAGAAGAAATAGAAGAAGAATTTAGTAAATTTGATTATACTTATTTATATTTATTTTCTTCATAGATGTAATTACAAATTGCAAATATGTAATGAATCATTGCATACATTTTTGGGCTACATTTCAGTCTACAATGCAAGTTTCTTAAGGGTGAGAGCTTGTTTTCAGATACACTCTATATCCCCAATACTATGTGCCAGGCACATAGAAGATATTCACTGAACAGTTGTTGAAAAAATAATAAATGCTTGAATGGAATTGTACCCCACATTATACAAATACATTCAACTTCCTTCAATCAGAACATTCATAAAAGTTTTATGAATGAAATCATACTTTAAATGCCCCAAGAAATCTCATGATCAGATTCCCATAGCACATGCTTTTGTAATCGAAATAACTGTTACTATACCAGTCTCAGGGTTTTTTTTTCTTTTTCTGTGTGGGTAGGTGGGGAGATTGTATCACATCACTAGGTGCCATCACCACTAGTTTCTTACAAATAAATAATGATTCCAGAGAAAAATTTGCAAAAATATGATGTTACCATTTCTATAAATCTGCAAGTAAAAAATACATTTCATCATTTAAGAATTATTTTATAATGCTCATACTAAGAAAAACACCCCCATAATTGGGTAACTTTAGAAATATTCTCTTGCATGGAAGTTTTGGGACATATTGACTCTAGTGAGCTTAGCTGTGTGCCCTGTACAGGTTTTCTCAAGTCAAACATTGAGTTATTTATTTATTTACTTACCTACCTATTTTATTGTTCAGTTACAGTTGTCCCCATTTTTGCCCCATTGCTCTCCCCTGCCTCATCCACCCTGCTCCCAAAGACAGTCCCCACCTGTTTTCCTTGTCCATTGGGTCCTTTGTACATGTTCCTTGATTTGATCCTTTCAATTCTTTACCCCATTATCCTCCTCCCCATTCCCCTCTGGTCACAGTCCATTTGTTCTTTATTTCCATGTCTCTGGTTCTTGGTTCTTGTTTGCTCATTTGTTTTGTTGATTTGGTTCCACTCCTAGGTGAGATCATATGATATTTGTCTTTCACTTACTAGATAATTTCACTTAGCATAATACTCTCTAGTTCCATCCATGCTGCTGTGAAAGGTATGATTTCCTTCTTTCTTTTTGCTGTGTATTATTCCATTGTGTAAATGTACAAGTTTTTTGATTCACTCAATTATTGATGGGCACTTGGGCTGCTTCCAGCACTTGGCTATTGTAAATTGTCCTGCTATGAACATTGGGGTGCATAGGTTCTTTTGAATTGGAGATTCAGGATTCTTAAGGTATAATCCCAGCAGTGGAATCGTTGGATCAAAAGGCAGTTCCATCTTAGTTTTCTGAGGAAATTCCATACTGTTTTCCACAGTGGCTGCACCAGTCTGCATTCCTACCAACAGTGCACTAAGGTTCCCTTTTCTCCACACCCTCCACAACATTTGGTTGGTTGATTTGGTTATGATGGCTATTCTGGCTGGTGTGAAGTGGTATCTCATTGTGGTTTTAGTTTGCACATCTCTGATGACTAGTGATGCTGAGCATCCTTTCATATGTCTCTGGGCCCTCTGCATGTCCTCCTTGGAGAAGTCTGTTCAGGTCCTTTACCCATTTTTTTAATTGAATTGTTTGTCTTTCTGCTCTGGAGTTATGGCAGTTCTTTATATGTTTTGGAGATCAAACCTTTGTCCAAGGTATCATTTGCAAATACATTTTCTCATATGGTTGGTTCCCTTTTTATTTTGCTGATGTTTTCTTTAACTGTGCAGAAGCTTTTTAATTTGATGAAGTCCCATTTGTTCATTCTTTCCTTTATGTCCCTTGTTCTAGAGGACATATTGGTGAAAATATTCCTGAGTGGAATATCTGAAATTTTCCTGCCTATGTTCTCCTCTAGAACTTTTATGGTGTCACAGTTTATATTTAAGCCTTTTATCCATGTTGAGTTTATTTTTGGTATATGGTGTAATTTGGTGATCTTATTTTTTTTTCTTTCTTTCCCTTTTTTTTTTTTTTTTGCATGTACCTGTCCAGATCTCCCAACACCATTTATTGAAGAGGCTGTTTTTTCTCCAGAAACATTGAGTCTTTTAACTCAGTCAAAAGTGGTTACCTCATAGAAGCTCCAGTTCTTCCAGGGGTATGTTTAAATGTAGGTGTGAAGGCCTTGAGTTTCTGAAAGGGAGCCGGGCTCATTATTCACCTGCTACTGAAATCTGAGAAATGGCATTATGAAAGCTTGAAGTGGATCAGCTCTTTTTCTATGAATCATAGGCTGGGTCAAATACTCTTGTTTACTTGATGCAGCCTAATAGCCCCTTCCTCAGAAGTTTCTCTCCACTGAGGTAAATGGTGACTCAGAAGGTGAATGTTCTGCTCCATGTTCCCTCTGTGCTGTTTGCTGAATAGGTATCTTTGTGTTTGTGTCAAAGCACAATTTATTTTCTAACTGTTTGATACAAAATAGAAACTTTCTATTTTTAGAAATAATTATGCCTACGAAAATGCCACACACATAGTGACATTAAAGTTCTGCCAAATGTTGATTTTTCAAAAAATAAATGCAAAAATTTCAAAATCTGTCTTTATAAAAAAAAATAATCCAAAGTCATTATAAAAATTGGTTTAAAATGTATTTTATTTCTCAATTGTTACTTTTAAATGGAAAGAATGTTCACCTCTCTTAAGCCTAAAATCCAAATGTTTTTTGTGTGCATTTCCTAGAACACTGTGGAGGTTTCTCTTAGGGCTGACAGGTAATAGGAGGGAGCATATGGGGCCTGTTTCCTAGACCTGGTGGTAAATAGTGCATATTCCCGAAGGCCAAAGTATGAGGTAAACATACCTTTCCACTGTTCTGGGAGTTTGAATGTAGTGCCTGTGCAACAGAAAGAGCAAAGGTGGGAAGGGCTCTCAGACACAGGAGGTCTGGTCCTATGAGCAGGCTGTCTGGATACTGGCAGACTTGCATAACTGTCTTCCTGTAGATCCATCCCATTTTATGTATCATTATTGATAATAATGAGACTGCTTTAGGCTTTAAGGATAAAGAGAACCAAGCTACATAATGCTACAGGATTTTTGAAAGTATTTATATGAGTTATGCATCTGCTCTCTTCAGCCCTTTGGAAGAATTCTTCCCAACTGTCATCTGCAAACCAGCTGCATCAGAATTCCCTGGAGTGCTTATTAAATATGCAGATTCCTGATGCTAAACTTTTCAAATCACAATGTACTTGGAATGAAGCCTAGAAATCTGGATTTTAATAAGCATTCCAGGTGATAATTCTATGTAAAATTTTTTTAAAAGAAGAGTTTTATCCAGCCTTATCTAACTTGTGTGTTTTATTTTCTAATAATTACTTTGAAGGTATGAAGCATGAAGTTCATTTTCTATGAATATACCTTCTAAACATCACTTTATCCCTTTTGAAGGGTTTAACATATTGCTATCTCTAAGTGTCCCAGAGGGATGAATTTTACCCATTCCTTAGCTTGTTTTCTCAACCTCCACACCCCTGTCTTGAACTGGATGATTCTTTCTTGTGCGGCGCAGTCCATGCGTTTTATGATGTTATGCAGCACCCCTGGCCTGTATGCACTAGATGCCAGTAGCATACCCCCACATCAAGCTGTGACAATAAAAACTGTCCCCAGCAATTGCAAAATGTCCTCTGGGAAACAAAATCACCCACCAGTGGAGCTAAATCATTTCTGGACTATTTGTTGAGTGCCCACTATGGTCAGGTCTAAATTTAATGAGTGCTATTCAACTTGATATACACCATTCTGACACTTCACGTGTCACAAAGTCCACAACTACCTAACAGTCCAGGGACATTGGTGATATTAATATACCCATTTTACAGGTGAAGAAACTAAGCCTGAAGTAAGTGAAATCGTATACACAAGTTGTTAACCAATTCTAACTAGAGGAGTCCTGTTTTAAATCTAATCTGATTCCAAAGCCGTGGGTTTTGTCACGAGGATTTATATCTGATGATGAGCATACTATGGCATTAATAATGTATTTGAAGATTCTAATTGTAAATTTAAGTAACAATTTCTACAAAGCTACTTGAAATCATCCTACTATTCCTAAAATAAAATGTTAATAGATCACTTTAAATGTTTACTTTCCACTCTTGCCCTGAATAGTGTTTCAAATTATGTAATATTGTAACATTTCTAAATGTTTCCTACTTTTAAGTTCCTTGATTCCTTTAGTCAATTTTTATTATTAGTGGCCATAACATCATAATAATGATGTGACTTTTCTAATTATAAGAATAAAATCCATCAAACTTTTCAGAACCTCGACTTCTTTTTAAATTTTATATACCTGGTATACAAATCAATATCCAAGTAATTAAAATTCTGGTTATCAAAATTCTTGCTCAGTATGGGAAGCCCTTACATTTTTTCTTGCTGTACTACACACAGCCCAAGTGAAGCAGCCACTTCATTCAATATTCATGTATGCATTCACACTCCAAATCCTTGGGAGACTATATTTAGAGCAGGGTATTGTGCTGACAAGGAGAAGGGAGCTAACATTTACATACGTACTATACTTTCTCTATACATTAACTATACATCAGTTCATTTAATTCGTGCAACTCTTGAGTTACACTTTTCTCTCATTTTGCAAATATGAAGATGCAGATAGAAATACTGTGCAAGAAAAAAAGCAAGCAGTAGAACTGAGATTGGAATCCAGGGCTTTCCGACATGAAAATCTGTGCTACTAGGAACTCAGAAAAAGATAAGGATGGACCCTGGTGGAATGAGAGAGATAAGTAACCAAGGGACAACTTATACCA